AGTCTGCCTTGAGCTCCTGGAAGAATGAGATATATCAAGTTAATACAATAAATGCTGTCTTTACTAGTTGAACAGGGAATTATATCTATTTTGATAGCTCCCATATATCTGCAGGTGGCAGGCTCCAAGGAGGACCTCCTTTTTTGTGAGGGAATGCTGAAATCTTAGAAGTGAAAGTACATAGTTTCTACCTGCTGCAAGTGAACTGTTTAATCATGAGGTGCAGATTTGAGGTGAGAACTAGTAGAGAAGGGAATTGGTAGGTTATATGGATTCTAAATGTTTATGAAAATCAAACACCTTGAAGAAACTTCAAATAAAATTGAAGATTTCACATGTTCACATATCACATCCTTACTGAAGTTTTTAATTCTGTGCAATTTTCATGCTGCAAAGGCCACCAATAATTAAAGGATGTGGATATTATAAAAACCCTTTTCTAAGTATTTCTTGACAGTGTAATTTTTTCAGTGATTTATTGCATCTGACTTCATATCACTTTATGTATCTATACAAGAGAAGTTCTAAAATATGTACTAACATTCTAATATTCCTTCCTTTTTCTAAAATGTCACTATAGTATATAGTGGAATGTCATGGCAACACACTACTTCCACAATTTTTGGGCATGTACCGGCTTACTGTTGATGGAGTTGAAGTGTATATGATTGTTACAAGAAATGTATTCAGCCATCGTTTATCTGTTTATAGAAAATATGATTTAAAGGTGAGCAATTTTTTTTTCCTCTGGGCATTACAGTAGTTCTCTTAATAGTTCTGCAAATAGTCCCTCTCCAAAGGAGAAGGAAGGAAGGGGAAGGGGAAGAAAGGGGAGGGGAAGGGAAGGGAGGGGTCAGGCCCAGCCCAAGAACAACGATGAAACAGTCCAAGCTAGTACACTTCCTTTATTTGCTTACACTTTATAGACAGAATCTTGCCAAACTAAATCTATACTACAGCAACTAGTGGATATACACTGTGAGATTGTAGGGAGTGGCTATCCTGAATCTCTTAGTCTTCTCACACTCCCCCTGCGGACTGTGTTGCCTCTTGCCTCCTCCCCACTCCTGGAATGCTCCCCCTCTTTCCTGATAGCCTTGATCTCCCACAGAAG